TCCCTGTCTCTAATGCAAACAGATATAGATAGAAACAGGTAGAGAGGGGAATAAGAATGTGGCAAATGTGTCTTCAGCAATAGAAAAGAAACATGGAAAACTCCAACCCTGAAATAAGGAAGATAGAGCCAGCATACCAAATGCCGCTGTTCTGGCTAAGACCTCACAAAGAAAACAACACGGTAAGGTAGTGCTGAAACTCCTGCTCCTGACACTGCAGGACAAAATGGCAGGTGATGGAATGCGACTGGCAAGTATAAGAAATAAAAATACTTATGTTCAAATTGCATTGTATGCTACTTGAGTCATTGCCTGCAAAAAGTAGAATGGAAACAGCATAGAAGCTACCTTGGAAGTACAGCTATAAGTCAGACTTGGCTGTGAATAGCATCTCTGTTATTACAGGATTTGTGAGAGCGACAAGGATTTAATTTCCCAGAGGAAAACTAACACCAGTAACAGCAAAGCTTGGTATTTCTAGCCAACACAAAACACAGATTTCCTCACTGAGCACTTTGTGAAACAAAGAAGATACACAGATGCTTAGTGATGACCTTGCACATTCACTGGTTTCAGGAGAATAAACAATTTTGGATTAAGTGACCCAGAGCTGGATTAACAAAAGCAAGCCCAAATACTAACGTGCAGGATTTCAGAAAGAAGATGCATTTCTTTTCTTAAGTCAGTTATGCTCAGGTGAAGAAGCAGCATGTAATGATTCATTGCCAGAAGTGTATTGTTGACTTTCTTCTTCCAAGGAAAGGTGAAAAAGGTCTACAGGCCTTTCTAAACACAGTATACCCGAAGCATGGTAGCACGAGTAAGAATAGTGTCTATAAAGAATATAAAGCAGGCTGATTACTGACTAAATCTGCAAGCCAGAGGTTAGATACAGAGCAACACTGACCAAAAGCCTTTCCGGGCCATAGCTGACACAGGCAACTGAACATAATAACAACGAAAGACCCTTAAGGCACACAGTCAAAAAAATAGGAAGACGGATTATGCTCCAAGGATAAAGAGTAACTGATAGGCCAGTCCCAAGTAACACTAGCAGCTCTTAGTAACAAAGTATGTGAAATTAGCAACGTAAATAAGAAAAGGACCTTGAAAAAAAAGGCATGGGGGAGAGGGTAAGGGGAAGGCAGCAAAACTGAGACCATATACTGGGACAAAAAATCAGGTGACCCAGCCTCTGTCCTAGAACAGTGAAAGAACTAATGGATGCCCACTCTAGTTATGAAATCTGTAATGTACTAAAAGAAAATGACAGGAGAGGGTGGGAATCACCAAGACGACTTACAGCTGTCAGCTGGCCCCTGGTGCTACACAGGAGTATATAGAGCAAGGTTCAGAAACAAGTAATGAAGAAGAGACCAAACAGTAAGTGGACTAAACTGTTAAGCTTTATCCAAAGTAAAGCCTCTTTGGCTACATTTTCACTGACTGACTTTTTAAGGATAATGCACTAATTATACATTAAGAAATCATATTATACAGTACCCCATAGAATTATTACTTAAAGTGAAATGACTGAATCCCGTATGCAGAGAAAGCACTCCTGCCAGGGGAGACTACAACAGTGGTTATTACAAGATAAAAGTTACCTAGGAAGAAGAAAGGACACCAGCACTGTTTTTCAAAGATCAGTCTTGTCATCAACCCTTATATATACATCGGTGGCCTGGGAGAAGAAATCGTGTAGACTTGTGAAACTACTTGACAAGAGAAACTTAGGACATAATAGAGATTGCACACAGATTGTTAAGAAGAATTATGTGGCCTTTCCAGCTGAAACAACAGAAGTAAAATAAGATTGAGCAGTGCAGCATCTTACATTTAAAACCTGGTAACAAGAACTTAGCAATTCACCATCTGGAGCTGCTTCAGTTACTGGGAGATGATGGTGATGAGTAACCAGCATGATGCTGCTATCATATATGAAGGCTCTAGGATGCATTAGGGCAGGTACTTTCCTTTTTAGTCCAAATATGGGAGTTAGGAAGTTAGCATTAAGGCTCAGAAATCCAGCTACACCACCACTGCACTAAGTGTGGCAGGAAACTCTTGCACATACTGAAACAGGAGACCTCCTGCAAGGTGCCCATTAGAGTCAGTCAAACACTGGTGTCTGTGACACAGGACCTTCTCAGAACTTATCGGCTAAAAGGTGCAAGATGTGATGAGGATTGGCTTCATCTTCAGGAAAAGCATGTGTGCTTTGCACGACAGCCACCCCACAGCACAGAATTATTACGGCCTTACAAAGAGCAGGTCACTGGAAATCCCAATCGATGGGCACAAGCATGTGCTTCCCTTGCCTCACACACCCAAAGCCCCGGGCAGGATATCACAGAGCACAGAAGCGTTCAGTTTCTGACAATGCTCAGCGGGCCTTGAAGCAGAGACCCGGCCAGCCAGGCATGGGCACAGCTGAAAGGAGTGACCCGGGATGGAACCCGCGGGGTCCTGCACGGCCGGGAGGGTCTGCCGGCGGCCCCGCGGACACCGGGCTGCAGCAAGCACCGCCGTCCCCCGGCGCCCACCCAGCCCGCGGGTGGTGGGGATGCTCCAAGGCCCCACGAAACCGCCTGCCCGGGCCCGACCGCCGCGGACGGCAACCTCCCAGCCAGGCCGCGGCCCCCCGGCACCTACCTAAGCGCTGCGCCAGACAGGCGGAGGCGGTGTCGGAGGGGTCCCCCAGGAGCGAGGCGGCCACCGGGATGCTGTCCTGCAACCGGAGCGCAGCAGAGGCACCGCTTAGTCACCGGCAGCGCGGGGCGGGAGCGCTAGGCAGTGGTGAGGAGGGCCCCACCAGCCGCCCCTCTTCCCTCCGTCCGTCTCTCCTTCCTTCCTTCCTTCCCTCCCTCCCGCTGGCCGCGGGCCCAGCAGCCCAGGGCAGGCGGCGAGGACACTCACCCGTGGGTTGCACATGGCGACAGCCAGGCTGGCGAGGGCGGGCGCGGCGCCCACCCAGAGGAAGAGCGAGTCCCGCAGCCGCATGGCGTGGAAGTGCACCCGCTGCTCACCCAGCCGCCCGCTGAAGTCGTGCAGGGCGATGCCTCCTCCTCCTCCTCCCTCTGCCGCCACTGCCCCCCCGCCACCCGCCGCCTCCATCGGCCCTTCTCCCGGCGCGGCCAGGCCTCAGCAGGCAAGGCCCGACCGGGCGGGCCCCGCTGCCCGGGGAGGCGGTGCATTCGCCGCGCCCGCCCCGCCACAGCCGCGGGGCCGCCTCCGGTGTCGGCGCTGCGCGGGCACCTCCAGCCCCGGGCACGCCCGGCGGCACCGGGGGTTGCGCCGTCCCCCAGCGTGTGGGCCCCGGGTGTGCAGGCACCCCCCCTCCGTGAGGCACAGGGGTAGCCCCGGGCGGTGCACGCTCACCCCCACCCCGGCACCTTCCTACACTCCCCGTTCCCCCTTCCCGTGCTCCCTTCGCGGGGGCGGAGAGGTGGGGATGAACGGGAAGCAGCCGCAGGATGGCGGCGCCCACTAGATGGCAGGTGAACCGCTGCGTGCGAGGCACGGCCGGTAAACGGGGCTTGGGCGCTTGGGTTAGCCAAAACCCGGGGTATGAGGCTAAAGCGAAGGGTCTGGCGTGGTGCTGTGCAGCCTCAAAAGCACCCCGGGGAGGAGAGGAGGAAGGTGGCGGAGGCCTTGGCTTCGTTCGGCTCTGGAGGTTTTCAGAGTTATGGGGGATGTCCAAAGCAAGCGAGGGGAAGCGGGGGTATGTGGAGCTGTGAATAATTAAAAGCCCCACTTTGGGTATGAATTGTGCCCCATACACTTTCTCCGGAGCACAGCTGACCTGGTCCTTCATCATTGAAAAGGATTCCCCTTAATGGTACCGTCTGCTGCTGATAAGAGTATGGGTGGCACGCCAGCGGCCTTGGGCCATTTGCATTCCGAATGTGTCTTCACACCACGGGCAGGGTGAGCATCTCTGCATAAAGAACAAGTGAGTTAATCACATAGACTGGCTTTTTAATCAGTATTTCCTCTGCCTCCAATTTCATACATGCTTCTAGGAATCAAAATTTCTGTTTCCAAATTCTAAAACTCCATTTTCCCATGGAAAAAATGGGGGGAGTGGGAGGGGGTGGAGCCATTCATCACTTTTCTTCCCTAAGCGGCTTTGGTTCTTCCTAGCATCTGCCGAAAGACAAAATCCTTAGCCCTGCTAATTTCTGCCCGTACTGCTGCATTGATGCTAAATCCCAGGAGTCAGCTAAGCCCAGCTCAGCTGCCAGACCCTGACATCCCATGGCACAGGATCAGCTTGGGGAGATGGAGGGGGAGGGTCTCACAGGCACCTCTTCTGCCCTACATTTGTCCCTTGCTGCTGGCACAAGGCATTATGGGCTGTATGGTAGCAGCATCAGGCCTGTACTGGTCCTCAGCTTACCGCAGCCCATCCCAATCCTTTGCCTTCACCTGGGCTGGCTTCCTGCAAGGTGAGTGTGTGCAGAAGCTGAGGCATGTGCTGGGGCTCAAAAATCAGCCTCTCCCTGTTCAAGCAGCCTATTGCAATCTAACATTTAGCCTGTGGCAGCTGTGGGGGTCAGGCAGGCAAGTAAGTGACAAAAAAACACCTTGGAAGGGGGTGAGTACTGTCTGCCTGCACCAAATGCTTCCCTCTGCCTTCTGTTTGTCTCGGCTGCAGGTTCACTCTGCACTTAGTGGGGGGCTAAGGGCACCAGCTAAAGCAGCAAAACCCATCACAGACTGGGAGCATTGCAGGAATAAGAATCTAGGCACTGGTTAAATAGATACCTGCTGGGAGACAGAGGTGGTAGTGGTGGTGAGATTCCTGTGATTAGACACCTGAGGGTTATGAAAGAGATGTGCCCCAGGCTTGCTTGATCAGGGGAGAGAAGCAGGCAGTTTTAGAGCACAGTTTGTCTGACCTCCTTTAGATCTCTCTTTTGAGTGAGAAGCATCCCCCTCCTGACCAATTTCCATTGGCTCCAAGGGAGGTTAAGGTGAAAAGTAAGACATGCCCAGCTTTGCAGACAGGTTTATTCATGTAGGCAAATCCTTCCTTAAGTGTTCAGGGCCAGTTTCTCTGCTACCCAGAGACAGGGACAGAATTGGCTTCTGCAGTAGAGTCCCAGTGGAGGAGCTGCTCTAACAAAGCTCCAGCACAGCATGTCTCTTCCCACCAAGTAGAAATTTAGGGTTCCTTGCATGCTAAACCTATGCTTAAATGATCTGCTGGATTGAAGTAAGGGTATGCTGCTTTCTTCCCTAGTTTTTCTACATCAAGTACAAGTTTCTTGCATTGCTTCCAAGGCTGTCTACAAGCTTGCTTCTCCCTAGGGGGGAGCTGCCCCTGTTTCATCATGCTCTCATTTCTTCCTCTTCCCATCAGGAGTCTTCTCCAAAGTGCTTGTAGCTTTCCTTGGGATCCTAAGCCCTGTGGACCTCTGAAGGTAAGTCACAGGTTTCCTCTGTTCGTAAGCACTTCTCCTTATTTAATGCTGTTCTGTGAAAGGTAGCTGCTACCTGTAAGTTGTGCTAAATCTTTGTTTAAGAACAAAAAAGGGAAAACATTCATCTATCAAGCAAAATGCTGGGTAAGCATTTTTATTTGCAATGCAGATGTGAAGAGTGAGTGGGAGCTGTGCAGAACCAGACCGTCAAGTATGAAATGAATATCCTAATTACAGCACTGCAAAGCCATCAGAGCCCCTGCAAAACAAGAGGAGAAAACACTCCAGCAGCACATGAAATCTCTTGTGTTTCCTTTAACATGCTCATCTTTTTTTCTGTGCCCATGGAAGCAGCACCGATGAATCTGCCTTATTTATCAGGTTTGAGGCCAGAACGAGCCTCTGCTGCAGTGAGACACTGTATAGCAAACTAATGATAAAGCAGAGATACTGTAGCAAAAGCACCGTATGTGTATATATGTTGCTGCTCAGATGGGATCCAAGTGGTTTAAAAGTATGTGCTTCTATGCTCATTGCTCTTCTCCTAAAGTTAGGTGGCCTACAAGAGTTACTAGGTCCTAAACCCTGCTTTTTACCTTCCATCATCTCCCCTCCAGTACAGTTTTAAACCAGGAGTAAATCTTCTTCCTGGTAGCCGAGGAGTGAGGAGATGTAAAGCACATAGTTATGAACTGGGATGCCACCAAAAGAAGCAAATGTTTTCTGATTCCAGAATACCTTCTGGTTTTTTGTTCCTGCATGAGCACAGTGTGAATTTGACATGTGAGAAAGCAGCTGACCATTACAGTGTGTCAGTGCTTCCCCTGTAGACGCCATGGGACGTGCTAGTTTTCTTGATTTGTTGTCCTTTTGCAGAGAAGTAAATGACTGCCTGATAAAGCCACATGAAACCTCCAGCCACCTTGGTGAGGGTCCATGCTACCAAGCTGCTGTAGCGGTAAGTCTGCTGCAGCCCAGGCTTCTGGGAGCCTGTTTTGTGTTGAGGCTTCCCTCAGTGGCACTGGTGGCTGAAGGGGTCCTTCTCTCTTCCTGCGCCATAGGCGCACCCGAGCAGCCGAAAATAACACTTCCTTTTTCTGTTATCATTGCATTGTTTTTCTCAGCTGGATCAGTCCTCTGATGTAACTTGTTGTTTCACTGCTCAGATACTTGTGCTGGTATCATGAAGGGCAGCATCAGGCGAGCATGGGCAAGCAAGGAAGGGAGAAGTATCTCTGCTCACACTGTGCAGTCACCAGTGTCATCTCAACCAATTTTAGGTGGGGATGTCCCAGTCCTGCTCTCTTAGCATTCATCTGATAAGCTGGTGAATCAGCCTGGGGAAACAAACTGTTCAAAAACTATTGCTGAGATCCCTGGGATGGGATGTTTATTTAGCTGTGGTAAGGAACTGGTCCTGAAACATCTAACCGTGGCCACAGAGCTCTCTTAACCTCTTTGAGGGCTCAAAACACTTTGGCAAGTGTTGATCAGCCTGACTTATTGTCCTATCAAAGAGACAGGAGGAAAAGAGACGGGCTGGAACTTTTGAAAGAGTTGCAGAGAATGCAGGAATCAGGCTGGAGAGCTCACATGAAGATCACAGTTTAGGAGACTTGCAAGGGGACTACCTCAAATCTATCCTATTAATCTCATGATCCAAAGCAATATCAGGGACAGCCCCACCTCCCACCACCAAGCCTGTGTCTGAAAATACACCCATAAACAAATGCAAAGTGTAGGTATACAAGCAATTCCGCAGTCACAGTAGCTATTGTGACAGCATTAGCACAGCTGCTATAGTAACTCCTCAGTGCGTTTATCGGTACCTAGGCAGACATTGCTCTGAGGAAATCCAGTTCTTGATTTCCAAAAGACTTAAGGTACCATCTTCTTCCCTTGAGGAAATCCTTCTTCTTTTTTTTTATGGTCCTCATAACCTCAGCTGTCAGGATTTCCCTGCTTGGGTGGGATGAGGCCTGGGATGCATGTGCCATGGTGATTCTCTGGTGAGCAATTTGTCATGATCCACTGTACAGTGTGTTTGGCTAGAACAGGGCTGCCAGGTTTTGTGCCCAGCTGGCACAGCGACCTTGTGCAAATCCCCTCTACTCTGCTTTATCTCACTCCTCTGCAGACTGGAAGAGAGCAACAACCTTTGCCTATCTCCCTGCAGCTGAATGGAGGTCTGTGTAACACATAGCTCGTTGGGAAATTTGTGAGCCCAGGCTAAATTTCTGCTGTTATCAAATGAGATGTTTTCCTTTTATTGTTATATGAGTCACTGGAGGAATTTGTCTTAGATCTCCTGGAACATTTGAGACACATTGGTTCATAGCTGCTGGACGGGATGCACTAACATGGTGTGACTCATCGCTCCCCTCAGGGACAAGAAGACGTTTAAGCAGTCAACTGGAAATCATGTTTTATATGCAGATAGACCACTTCACAGTGGAGAATCCTGAAGCAGCTTACAAACACTGACCCTGGTGTATAAAAGCCAGCAGCTGTAGTGATTTCTGCAGATGCAGTGGGCTATTGCATACCTGTGACCTGACAGGGAAGGGAACAGGCATGAAAGCCTAATGGAACTGAGCTTCTGAAAGGCTGAAAAAGGAAGGAAAAAAAAAAAAGAGATAGCATTGAAAAATTTCCCCTTATGTTGCTCAATACAATGCTAAGATCCCACATGACATGCAACACACCTGATGGATCCTCTTTATTTTCCTGTCCTTGAGTCACTAAGCAGGACACAAGGCTGGGGTACGTAAGATACGTAGGGTATGTTGTGTGCTTGAACCAGAGAGGATGCCAGTCTGCTACTGACTTGAGAACTGACTCATCTGCTAGGGTTGCAAAGAGTTCTTAACCATGGAAATCACTGATTCAGCATGCAGTGCTGACAGCCACTTAAACGAAGGTTTGACCAAGATTCAGCTTGCTTTAGGAGGGGAACAAAATCCCTATTGCTACTGTCATGGTTATGGGACTTGCTGCACTTCTGGTGTTTACCCCATTCATCTGGCTACTTTCCCTTTGCTGATTCCAGAATTTCCATGAATCTTCTCTTCCTCCTTAAACTGGGGTTGGACTTAATAGTCTCTGTCACAAAGTTCCTTAGCCTGCAGGTCTGATTGGACATGCCTGCACATAGCTTCTCTCTTTCTCAAGCATGCCAGCAAGAGCCTGCCTCTCAGTCTGGCTCTCCAAATAGCCACTCTCTTTCATTACTTTTTAAAGCAATGCCACAGCCTTTTAATTTTTCCATTTGCAAGCAAAACTAGCTGGACAAAATCAGCTTTGACTGCTTCCTCCTCCCTGCACAAGGAGCGAAGCTAACAGGCCTGGCATTGTCCCTCAGCAGCCCTCGAGTGTTCACTTCAGTGGTGGTTTAGCTGAAGCCAGTCTTTTCTCTTGGCTTTTCTTTCCTGCTCTTTTGAATATCATTTAGTAGAGAGATTAAATGTCTCAAACAGTAGCTTAGTGCCTGCACATAACTAGAGAGCAGCCCAATGTCTTCTGATCCATTACGGATATGGCCAGGCTTTCAAAGTTCATAGTACAGTTCTTGAACAGCATGATTTACAACAGGGATGTATTAGACTTCCTAGCAGAAGTATGTCAGTTGCTGCTGCCACCCGGTTGGTGTATCTGATGTTATTGGTGATTACACAGAGTATAACTTTCACAAGAATTGCTCCAGTGATCTGTGTCCAGTCTCCTGAGTTAAAACAATTAAAATAATACTTAGCACTAGTATCCAAAGATGGGTGTGTAGTTGTGTGTAGTGATGCTGTCAGAACACACTACCCTTGGAAAACGTTATCAGAGCTCCTTCACTGTATTTTCAAAGTCAGGTAGGATCCCAACAGGCTGAAGCTGCACCTTCAAAAAGCCTGTCCCCTGCCCTTGAACAGCAATTGAAAAATATCCTTCCCTGCTGCCTCTCAGAAAGTGTGAGAAATCATCTCCCTTTGCTGCTTGGTGTTTGGAAAAGCCACTGCCAGGCACTGTTGCTGCTGTTGTTACGGAGTGCTGGAATGGATGGTGGCCTTCCCCAGGACTGAAAGGCCTGCGTGTGCCTGAAGTCTCATAAAGAGAGATGTGTTATGTTTCTTAAGAGGCAAACATGTATCAGGTGAAAATTATCCCTAAATCTTGTGGAGAGTCATAAATGTGAAAATAGGAGGAGAAAGAAGGACAAAGGAATTCGTGGCATTTGGGAGTGATACCTTTCTTTAACAAATTCAGGATCTGAGCCAGTCTTTCACAGAAACCAATGAGAAAAACACCTGCTAGCTACTGTGAGCAGAAGGTAAAGCTTGTAAGGATGAACTTCACTTAGCGGTTGTTCAAGATGCTGCCCTTTGGGCTCTGAATAACTGCTGGATGGCTTGCTTGGGTACCTGCCTCCCCACCCCTGCCACGATGAGGTCACTGAAACCTATGGAGCTCGGTGGGCACAGACTGACTCCCTCCCAGACATACCTAACTCCCTACCACCCTGCGTGCCCCAAGTGACACTGCCAGCACTGGCACATGACACCCCGATTTTGCCACATTTGCCCCATCACTGCAATTCCAGCTGCAGGGGTTCCTCAAAGTGCAAGGGGAAGGAAGGGCAGGAAACAGTGTTTTCATCTCTGCCGCCAGTTCTAGCTTGGTGAGGATGCTTCCAGCTTTAATAAACCAGATGATCAAAGCCTTTGTGTGAATCCTGCCATCAGGAGAGGGGCTGTGCCGCGGCACTGACAGCACACTGGAGCCCTGTGCAGCTCCCCCAAATCCTGCCTTTCTCAGCTATGAGCTCTTGGCACTCATCAGCTCCCTCCAGCCCAATACAGGAGGGCAACTGATGTCAAGCAGAGATAAATCTTTCCTGTCATTTTCTTTTCTAGCAAGCCAAAGATGTAATATACATAGGAGTGATCTGGGGCTCTATTTTATTCTTTTTTTCCCCCAGCTTTCACGATGATATTTATTCTCTTTCCAGTCTTCTGAAAGATGCGTACCAGAGGCACCTGGGAGCAGCCAAAGCAGCTGCCCGATAAGCTCTTTAACATTAATTTGCACAACCATGCCTTTTGCAAAGGAAAAAGGAAAGTGTTAACGAGTTGACAAGCGCACTCTTCCTTGCAGCAAGCAGCGCTGCCAGCCGCAATATTACTGCAGGGAGGAGAGAGCAGGGTGGTGGCGGAAGACCTTGAAAGAAAAATGCTTTGTTCAACCCGGTTACACAGACTCCTGCTTCCTTAATATACCGAATCCTAGCTAGCCGAGCAAGGCAATGGATTCAGTAGAAACTCGATTTGGCAATGATGCTGGGCAGCATGCTGCTATCAGGGTTTCAAGGATGAGTTGTTGGGGTGGAAAGAAATCGTGTTTAATCAAGAAGGATCGAAGCAAAAGGGGTGTTTGCTAGTCATGTGGCTTCTGTACCACCCCCAAATGAGGGTCTGACAGTGGGTTTACCCTCTGACACTGCCATTTGCAATCGGATCCTCAAACTATACAAATCTGCCAGATCTCAGTTCAGCCTGAACACACACACAGAGGCACACATAAAATTCCTGCTTAAGAAAGGAAACACCAAGACTGGTTTTCAGTAATAACTCAGACAAGCAAGTGAGTATTTTCTTTCATGCCTTGCTCTTTTGCATTTACTGAATTTGTTCCACATGAATGTAGAAACAGCTGCATCAGCACCACCACTAAAGCTGGAACCTTATTAATATTTATGCCTAGAGAGCAGAGCAGACAGGAATCAAAACGCCTTCCCGCCATTGGCTCAGGGACCCCAGCATCCATACAACATCTTGCCACGTTTGGTGGCCAGGCAAGCAGATTTATTAGAGAGCAGATTGATTTCTCATCAGCACGCTCACCGGATAGCAGAAAAACTGCCCTTTTCCTCCTACCTGCTCTTTGCGTCTCGTCCTTCAATAATTTCCCAATTAGAGAAACCATTTTTCATCTCTTTTGCAGTCCTGTGGTTTATATTCTCATCTATTAATACAGCAGGAGACATTAGTAGATGCTTGAATTATTATCATTTGCATACCCATAAGCCTGAGTACAAATGAGATGAAACAAGAAATAATGCTGTGACAGACCTAGCATGTGCTAGGAGGGACTGAGTTCATGGCACATGGCACTATGCATTGAAAGGTGTTGCGTGGTGCCAGTGTGATCCTTGGGGCCTCCCTTGGGACTTATTTCCACTGCAGTTTCTGCTGCTAAGGTGCTGCAGTGAGACCCCTTAATCTGAGGCTGCAGGGTTTCCTTTCCAAGAGTACCGGGTGGAATTCTGCCTGACAGCCTTGCTCCGGCTTTGTTTCGAGAGAGCAGTCCTTAGCTTGTCTAATAATGAGTAACTGGTGCACAGGCAGGTGCTCTCAGCAAAACTGAAACCTTCACATGTTTTTTTAACTATGATAGAAACAGTGGCTTGTAGCAGCAGTAAAAGAGAGGAAAAATAATTCTGGGCTCTGATTGAAGCCGATTGTGGGGAGGGTGCATAGCAGCCCCAGGTGGCTGCACCAGCAGCCCCTGGCTACATCCCTGCTGAGACCAGGGACACCCCAAAATAGGCAGCACTAGCAGGGCTGTGAGGCAGCAGCCTCAGCCCCGGGATTCCCTAGCAAGTGCAGCAGCACCAGTGAAGTGCCCTTGCTCCCCTGTGTGGGCATTGGGGCTGCAGATCCAGCATGGCCACAGCCGGGAATCACACACTGGGGCTTGCTGGGTGAACAGAATCCACCCAGCAGCCAGAGGGGTGTGGGG